GCCTTCACGAGACAGACAGCGGCTGGTACACCTGCCTGGCCGAGTCGTGGTCTGGTTCTGCCCAAGCCTCCGCCTCGCTGCTCGTCGTGGGCGGCGAGGACCCTCAGGCCGCCCGCAGTTTCCGTCGCGCGCCCGTGCCCTCAGCCCTGCCCGGTCCGCCCTCCCGCCCTCGCGTGACCAGCCTCACCAACGCCTCCGTCACCCTGGTGTGGGCGCCTCCCATCTCCGTGGGCGAGGCTCCTCTCCTGGGCTACACCCTCGAGTCCTTCACGCCCACGGGGGAGAGCAGGAGCGGCCTGTGGCGTGTGGTGGCGCGCGGCCTCACCGACCCCCGCTACACCGCCACCCTGGAGACCGGCCGCCCGCAGGTGTTCGTGGTGAGGGCGGCCAACTCGCTCGGGGAGTCACCGCCCTCGCCCTGGTCGCAGGTGGTGGTCGTGGGCGGCCCCGAGAGCGTGACGCGCCTCGAGCACCAGGGGCCGCTGCAGGGGCGCCTCCTCAACCTGTCCTCCCTGGCCACCCTCACGTCCTCCTCCATGAAGATCACGTGGAAGGTAAGTGCAGTGTGGGCCTTCGCTGGGTAAAGGATAAAGGTAAAGAGGAAAAAGGAAAAAGGAAAATGCATAAATAGAGGCAATAAATGAGAAAAAAAGAGAAAAAATGGAAGGCAAAACAGCAAGAGCATAGATTGGAAAATCGATATTGTCTTTAAGAACACAGTCGATTATCAGACCCGACGATCCGGAATATGACCTTGGATCAGTAAGGGAAATAATCCTATAAAAGAAAGAGAGACATAAGTAACGAGAATAAATTAGAATACCCGATAAAGACATATAACAACATGAGTGAAAAAAAAGAATGAAAAAAGACGAATTATTTGTATACATGCCACTGTTAGATATAAAGAAAACGAGAAAGAGAGAATGAACCTCAACTGATGAAAGGATATTGTGATAATGAAGTTTATAACCACGGACACAAATGCATAACATAAGATGAAGCAATTACATATAGTACATGCAATCACAAAATAATGAGGTAAATCATGAATTGAATGAATCTAACATAAAGGCCACCGACCTCAAGAAATTATTAGCAAGGGAACATGAAGACAAACAAGTAAACCTAACTTCACTACAGACACCTAACGTTTCTGAGTAAAGGATAAACACAATTTGATGATATTCTGGTCCAAGAAGTCTTCTCGAATATTTCCGATGTGTCTTTTGATCTACGCTTTAGTTACGTCTTTCTGTCTGTCTGCCTGTTTCTCTCTCTCTCTCTCTCTCTATCTATCTATCTATCTATCTATCTATCTATCTTATCTATCTCTATCTCAGTCTGTAGGAGAGAGAGAGAGAGAGAGAGAGAGAGAGAGAGAGAGAGAGAGAGAGAGAGAGAGAGAGAGAGAGAGAGAGAGAGAGAGAGAGAGAGAGAGAGAGAGAGAGAGAGAGAGAGAGAGAGAGAGAGAGAGAGAGAGAGAGAGAGAGAGAGAGAGAGAGAGAGAGAGAGAGAGAGAGAGAGAGAGAGAGAGAGAGAGAGAGAGAGAGAGAGAGAGAGAGAGAGAGAGAGAGAGAGAGAGAGAGAGAGAGAGAGAGAGAGAGAGAGAGAGAGAGAGAGAGAGAGAGAGAGAGAGAGAGAGAGAGAGAGAGAGAGAGAGAGAGAGAGAGAGAGAGAGAGAGAGAGAGAGAGAGAGAGAGAGAGAGAGAGAGAGAGAGAGAGAGAGAGAGAGAGAGAGAGAGAGAGAGAGAGAGAGAGAGAGAGAGAGAGAGAGAGAGAGAGAGAGAGAGAGAGAGAGAGAGAGAGAGAGAGAGAGAGAGAGAGAGAGAGAGAGAGAGAGAGAGAGAGAGAGAGAGAGAGAGAGAGAGAGAGAGAGAGAGAGAGAGAGAGAGAGAGAGAGAGAGAGAGAGAGAGAGAGAGAGAGAGAGAGAGAGAGAGAGAGAGAGAGAGAGAGAGAGAGAGAGAGAGAGAGAGAGAGAGAGAGAGAGAGAGAGAGAGAGAGAGAGAGAGAGAGAGAGAGAGAGAGAGAGAGAGAGAGAGAGAGAGAGAGAGAGAGAGAGAGAGAGAGAGAGAGAGAGAGAGAGAGAGAGAGAGAGAGAGAGAGAGAGAGAGAGAGAGAGAGAGAGAGAGAGAGAGAGAGAGAGAGAGAGAGAGAGAGAGAGAGAGAGAGAGAGAGAGAGAGAGAGAGAGAGAGAGAGAGAGAGAGAGAGAGAGAGAGAGAGAGAGAGAGAGAGAGAGAGAGAGAGAGAGAGAGAGAGAGAGAGAGAGAGAGAGAGAGAGAGAGAGAGAGAGAGAGAGAGAGAGAGAGAGAGAGAGAGAGAGAGAGAGAGAGAGAGAGAGAGAGAGAGAGAGAGAGAGAGAGAGAGAGAGAGAGAGAGAGAGAGAGAGAGAGAGAGAGAGAGAGAGAGAGAGAGAGAGAGAGAGAGAGAGAGAGAGAGAGAGAGAGAGAGAGAGAGAGAGAGAGAGAGAGAGAGAGAGAGAGAGAGAGAGAGAGAGA